CTCGAAGCCTGAGGAAGTTTAGGGAGAGGGAGCTTGGGTTTCTCTCTCTCTCCCCCCCCCCCGCAACTCCCTCCCCCGGGGTTGGCTCAGACCCTTTCTTTTCCACCCCCCCCAAACACACATACACACACTACTGCTCCCTCCCCCCAAAAAATCCCAAGCAAGGGCCCCTCCTCAGGAAAGGGAAACGTTTGCACACACACACACCCCAAAAAAGAAGAAAGTCCCCCCCCCCATAACAATCCAAAGAAACGGCAACTCAGCAGCAAAGCAAGTTCTCTTTTTGCCTCTTGGCGAGGGGCACAGACACATCACTCACTTTCCGCCAAACTGGGGGCGGGGGGGGTCCCGGGCCGCCACCCCCACCCCCGTCCCGGGCTTCGCCGGGGGGGGGCACCTCCTCCCGGGGGGCCCGTGGCCCTCCCCCCCCCCGCGCCGCTCGGAGACCCCGGAGACTTTTTATTCCTTAAAAAGAAAAAGAAAAAACGGCAGGGACTATATTCTCTCCGAGCGCGCGCCTTGATTTCCCTTCGCCTGAGGAAAAAAGTTGTGCCGCGGCTGTCAATGCTAATTCGGAGGTGCCCGGATGGAGCCGGCCGCCTCCTCCTCCTCGCCCCCCTCCCGCTCGTGGGGGGGGGGGGGAAGAGAAGAGGGGGGGGGGGAAAAGAGAACGGGGGGGGGGGAGAGACTATGAAGGGGAAAGGCTTGGATTGGAGCATGCGCGGTGGGCGGCCTTAAAGGGAAGGCAGCGCGAGCGAGAGAACAACGGAGCTAGGAGGAGAGTAACGGCGGCGGCGGCGGCGGCTTGGAGCCTGCAAAGGGGCCGAAGGTTCGGGAGAGCGGGGAGCCCTCCCCCCCCCTGCGCTGCGGCTCCGAGAGATGCTTCGGGGCCTGTGGGAGCAGAGCGCTGCCATCGCCCTCTTGGAAGCACCGAGACAAGAGGAAGCCGAGATCCCGCTCCCTGCTTTCTTCCCGTCGCCCCTCCTGCATGCAAGGAGTCTTCCAGAGCAGAACAAACCAGACAGATTCAAGAGGGCCACCTGCACTCCAAAAAAAGGGGGGGCTGAGGGGGGCAGGGCTCTCGTTGTAAACTTGAGGTTGCCATCTTGACTCTTTACACACACACACACACACAC